TGGAGCGCTTGATAGCACCCCACCTGACAGTGAGACCAAACAAGGAAATTAGAGATTAAAGGAAAATCTCAGGTAGAAAAGATTTTTGTTTTACTTGCCACAATATTGGGCAACTCCCAAAGAGTTACAAGGTTAAGTTAACCTAAAATCTTAAGCAGTTATTTTACACTTGGACTTCAAATTTTCAAGGGAAACACTAGCTAGGTTTGCTTGATCACAGCAAACTGAACAGTACTTAAAACACAAACAGTTGGTTAATCTTTTAACACGAGTGGTTTTACTTGTAGTTGAATTAATGTTTTAGATCTAAGAGTGCAGATTTCCAGTACAACCCACCTCTGTTTATTTAAGAGTGAGTAATGTAAAATAGGGTCATCTACACTACAGTTTGACACTGTATATTCAACTGCAAGTCTTCTTCCCCTCACCCCCAACCGGTCTCGGCACCTTGCCACCCCTCCCTAAGGCTGGTGCTTCTGGAGAAATCTTCTTGTTAAAAGGAAGTTTTTATGCTTGCTCATACAGGGTCACCTGATTTTAAGGGTTTTCCATTATGTATTATTACTGCTATATAAAGTGTATTGAGTTGACTGTTTTGTTTTTTAAATTTGGTGCTATATAAAGAAAAATCAAACTGAATTTAACTGGTTGGACATCACCGTCTTTATGCAAACATTGCTTAAGCCATTATCACAACTCGGTCACAGTCACTTTAAAAATACAGTCAAAAGAACAACTGACAACAGAGATGAATACAGGTGTGCTCTGTGAAACCATTGCATAATCCAAATGTGTTTAAAAATGTCCACCTTTAAGACGTGTATACATAAGAACAGGTTAGGAGCAATGTGGCAACCACAAATCAATCAAAGCCAATGAACTTAACTAAACTCTTGCAAAAAGGGTGAATTAACGCATAGCTGATGTGAAATAACTGCCATGTAGAGTAAATAATTCTCAAATTTGGGACAGATAATTAAAGCAACTACACCAATGTGAGCAAAGAATGCAGTTAACTAACCGGATGAGTAGTTGTGAACAGCCTGGAAAACCGACTAGCCAACCAGGTATCAGCTATAAAGCATTGTGCATCAAGCAAATCGCCTTACACAGTTAGGTCAATACATTTTTGGACTCTGCTCCACTGTAGTGGATTTTAAATCAAACATTCATGATGTGACTGAAGTGCATACTTTAATTAAAGGGGTTTTACCAAAATAATTCATTAACCTATTAAGAATTGCAGCCATGTTTAGTCATCTGTTTTCAAAGGCTAATGATTAATTGAGAAAAGAAACATTATTTTTAACATCACGTAATCATACATATATTTGAATGAAAATGCTTCCTGGAGTGTAGAAACCATAGACATCACAAAACGCTGTGTTTCCTTCCTCAAGATGCTCTGACAGGCCTTGTTGTGGATCTTTCTACCTCCAGTTTTGTAAAACCATGCTCTGTTGGGGTGAGATCAGATGACTGACTTGGCCACTGAGGAATATGGCATTTCTTTCCCTTCAGAAGCTCTTGGTTTGGTAATGCAGTATGCTTTGTTTCACTATCCATTTGCACTATCAGCCGCTGTCCAATCAGTTTTGCGACATTTTGCTGAATGTGCTACTGCTACTTCTATCAGCAGTCACATCATCAGTAAGCACGACTGACCTAGTTCCACATGCTATAATATTGCCTCCACCATGATTTACAGATAATGTCATATGCTTTGGACCTTGAGCTCTTTCTCTCCTTCTCCATCTTTTCAAAATTCAAATTCAAATTTTATTTGTCACATACACAGTCATACACAGTACGATATGCAGTGAAATGCTTAGACAACTGCTC